CATGGCTGCTAGTGAAAAAAAATATTTGACGTATCAAAAATTGTCAAAGTTTTCAAAACCCTACGTTTAAAATGTTCGCAGTTAATTTTAGGTTCCCTGGTGTGTTATTTTCGGATAAACTTAAAGGAATCTGGTGTTATGTTGCTGGACGAACTTGAAAAAATCTTTTGAGCTTTTAGTGTTTTACTTTTTATGAATTTGAAAAAGTCTTGAGTGCCGCAGTATTTTTTTTCTTAATTCGACTGATGTTCAATTTTTGGAAAATTCTGACCTGACCTGTTTTTGAGTTAATTTTGGGACTAAGTTTTTTTTTTTTTTGAAAAATTTAAAACCATCTTGAGGTTCTAGGAAAGAATTTGAAATTGCTTTGGAGCCTGTTGTGTCTTTTCTTATAACAATTTAAATTTCTTAGAGGATATATCATTTGCCAAAATCAGTCTTATCTTAGAAGGTACTTGCCCCGCCCACCCACCCTCACTTTTCTTGCAGGGAATGCTGTCTGCCAAAATCGGTCTTACTTAAAAAGGTATTAGCCCCGCCCACCCACCCTCTTTTTTCTTAGAAAATATTTCATTTGCCAAATTCAGTCTTATCTTAGCAACTACTAGCCCCACCCACCCTCTCTTTTCTTGGAAGGTACGAATTTGAAAGTCTTGAGTACCGCAGTCTTTGGGTATTCATGGTATGTTATTTTGGAAGCCCATGGACATTTTTTATAAATTATTTAAAACAATTTTGGGGGACATTAGTGTTCTATTATTGGATAATTTTGACCTTACCTGTTTTTGAGTTACTTTTGGAATCTAAATTTTTTTTGGAAAATTTTAAACAGTTTTGAGGTTCTAGGTATTCGTGTTTAGAAAGAATTTGAAAGTGCTTTGGGGCCTGTAGTGTGTTTTCTTATAATAATTTAATTAAATTTCGTAGAGGATATGTCATTTCCTAAAATCAGTCTAATTGTAGCAGCTATTAGCCCCGCCCACCCACCCCATTTTTTCTTAGATGGTATGTCATTTGCCAAAATCAGTTTTATCTTAAATAGCTAGTACTTGCTAAGATAAGACTGGTTTTGGCAAATCACATGCCTTCCAAGAAAATAGAGGGTGGGTGGGCGGGGCAAACATTTGATAAGATAAAACTAATTTTGGCACTTTTGACCACTCAACCATTTTCGAAAATTAGTGGGAATAATTTTCTAGCCCCGCCCGCCCGCCCTCTATTTTCTTAGAGAATATGCCATTTGCCAAAATCAATCTTAACAGGTACTAGCCCCGCCCACCCTCCCTCTCTTTTCTTAGAGGATATTTCATTTGCCAAATTCAGTATTATCTTACCAGGGTACTAGCCCCGCCCACCCACCCTCTCTTTTCTTAGAAGGTATGTCATATGCCAAAATCAGTCATATCTTAGCTAGGTATATATTTGCTGAGATAAGACTGATTTTGGGAAATCACATGCCTTCCAAGAAAATAGAGGGTGGGTGGGCGGGGAAAGTATTTGATAAGATAAAACTAATTTTGACACTTTTGACCACTCGACTATTTTAATAATAATAATAATGATATATTTGCCCAACAGAATAATATCCAATTATAGGACAATTAATCTTATCCAAAATAAATTAAATGACACGTAAACATAACGATAAGTAAACTAAACTAATTTTCGAAAATTAGTGGGAATAATTTTTTAGCCCCGCCCGCTCGCCCTCTATTTTCCTAGAGCATATGTCATTTGCCAAAATCAGTCTTAGCAGGTACAATCCTCTCTTTTCTTAGAAGGAATGTCATACTTCATAATGAGCCTCATTATCTGCAAAATAAAATTTCAATTCGTAGTTCTGTACATGACAGAAACCTGCGACAAATGGATCTGACAGTTGACATACCTTCTCATTTTTTAAGTTCATATAAATCGTCATTTTCATATTTAGCTGCATATGTCATAAATAACGTTTTACGTCATTATTCCAACTTAAATAACCATTATATCATCAAATCTGTAAAGGATCTCGTATTCGCTGAGCAAGCAGAAATGAAATTAAAATTAAATTTAAATCTTTTTTAAAGTCTGTACCTTTAATACTATCTATAAAAAATTATGTTCCTCTTTCGTATTTTACAACTTGTATTTCATATCTCATTTCGTTTCAACATAGGGACAGATTGTAAATCAGTAATACTGAATTTGTTTTTTTTCCATTTTGAGTGTGCATTATTTATTTATTTTTGTGTACTTGTATTTTTTTTTATTTATGGTACTCAATAAAGATATTATTATTATTACTATTATATGCCAAAATCAGTCTTATCTTAGCGGGTACTAGCCCCGCCCACCCACCCTCACTTTTCTTGCAGGGAATACCATCTGCCAAAATCGGTCTTCTTTAAACAGATATTAGCCCCGCCCACCCGCCCCTCTCTTTTCTTAGAGGATATTTCATTTGCCAAATTCAGTATTATCTTACCAGTGTACTAGCCCCACCCACCCACCCTTTCTTTTCGTAGAGAGTATGTTATATGCCAAAATCAATCATATCTTAGCTAGGTATTTGCTAAGATAAGACTGATTTTGGCAAATCACATATCCTCCAAGAAAATAGAGGGTGGGTGGGCGGGGCTAGTATTTGATAAGATAAAACTGATTTCGGCAAATCACATTCCTTCCAAGAAAATAGAGGGTGGGTGGGCGGGGCTAGTATTTGATAAGATGAAACTAATTTCGGCACTTTTGACCACTCAATTATTTTCGAAAATTAGTGGGAATAATTTTCTAGCCCCGCCCGCCCGCCCTTTATTTTCTTAGAGAATATGTCATTTGCCAAAATCAGTCTCATTTAAACAGGTATTAGCCCCGCCCACCCGCCCTCTCTTTTCTTACTAGAGGATATTTCATTTGCCGAAATCAGTCTTATATTAGCAACTACTAGCCCCGCCCACGCACCCTCTCTTTCTTAGAGGGTACGAATGTAAGTGTCAACAATTATCTTTCAATTGTTTTTTAAATTAACATTTAAAAAACGTTCAAATTTTAGCTAGAAACGAAGTTTTTGGCGAAATTTGACAGTTTCGAGCAACACATTTACAGCGCAAGTCTAGAAACAGACTCATTATTACTTAATAAAATTTATTAACAAATTAACAATTTGATCGTCTCATTCGCCCCCGAAAACAAACCCTTTTTTGTTCACTAACATCTCTACATCTGATGCGATTTGACTTGACCTAGTTTGTCTTAAATTGAGATAATTTAACCCGATTTACTATGACCTATATGATTAATCGTGAGCCGACTTGACTCCACCTAACTTGAAGCTAATCTAACCTGACTGGAACTGACCTCATCCGACTCGACCTGACCTAACATGACTTAAATTGAGTTAATCTAACGTGATGTGGCGGCACAATAGTAGCTGGGTAAACGAAGTAAAGATAAGCCGCTCTGTAGCCTAGTGGTCAAGGTCCCCGCCCGGCGAGTGGAAGATGTGTGTTCGATTTCCACCGGGGCAGCACACATTTATTTTTCTTCACTTACCTACAGTGACTTAATTAGCTCTGATCTGACTTACATTGAGTTAATTTGACGCGATTTAATCCTGACGTGACGTCCAGAAATGTGACGTTTACAATTTTTCTTACCTTTTTGTTTTAATATGTGTAGACTTCTTTTCACAATATGAAACTTAAAACATGTTTAAAATGAAAAATTCTCGCCCCATAATTGCAAAATGCATATTTCCTTCCAAAAATGTACAATTTTAACCATGTTTTAGGTTTCTTGTTGTCTATTAAGACAAAAAAGCATAATATAAAAAATAAAATCCTTATTTTTCTACGAGAAATAAAAAACATTTTTGAGTCTCGTGTTGTTCAAAGAATACTATATAGTGTAATATACATATATATTAGATACACGTTATAGTAGACATTTTACAATTTTGGGGATAACAAAAGGGCGATAAAAAGGCAAAAAAAGTGAATACAGAAGACGAAAAAAAACATTGAAAAAAAGGTGACAAAAAGAAACCAAAATGGTTAAAAGCAACTAAAACAAGGGAAAAACAATGAATAAAAAAATGTAACTGAAAAAAGAGACCAAAGAAACGACAAAAAGGACCAAACATGCGATAAAAAAGAAACAAAACATGGCATAAGGCGAAAAAACCGCAAAAAAGTGCTACAAAGAGGACAAAAAAGGGTAAGAGAAGGGCCATAGAACAAACGACAAAAAGAGAGACAAAAGCGCCACATAAAGAAAACCTCTGAAATAAAGCAAAAGACAGACAGAAAAAGCTACACAAAAATGAGAAAAAAAGCATTTTAACTGACATTTACGTTGAAAATTGCACATTTGTCATAATTCTCAGAAAATCTAGTATTTATAATATGAAGCTTGGTATTTATAGGAAAAAACGGATAGTTCAGGTTCCGTTTAAAAAATTATTTAAATTTTAAATTCATTCCAAAATTTCGATTTTTTTCATGTGAAATTTCGACTTGTAAATGACAAAGCATCAAGTTTTTAATTTTTATTTAAAGAAAAGATCTTTTTCCTGAGCAAAACTTAAAATCGATATATTTCCAAATTTGTTTGAATTTTCAGACAAAAAAGTTGTCTTCCACAATGCACACGAAAATTAGAAAATAGAACGAAATCCACAAAAGTCTCAATAATGTTACAGAAAATTAAAGGAAACCAGAGAATCAATTATTTGTTTTCATCATAAATTACTGTTGTAAATAAGTTTTATCCTGACGTACCCTGACTTCACTAGGCTTAGCATGGCTCGAACTGACCTGACTTAAAATAAGTCAATCTAATCCGACTTAATCAGACGTAACCTGACTTGAAGTGACCTGACCTACTCTGACTTAACTTAAGCTAATCTATCGCGACTTAATTTGACCTAACCTCCAGAAATGTAACATTTAACAATTTTTCTCCATCTCTTTAGATTTAGTACCACGAAAATGCCCAAATTTTAATTAGAAAAACCCATCATTCCTTAATAAAATTTATTAACAAATTAATTAGAATACAACTTGATCGTCCCATCCGCCCCCGACGAGAACACCCACGGTTGCAACGGATGAAAATGCACCCCGAAAATCCCAAAATCGTTGGTACCCTCATGATCCTGCAGCCTCTTCAGCGGCACAATCAGCGGATTCTTCAGCAGATCGTTATACACCATCCCGTGGGACACAATCAGACTCTTATCATCCGAGCCCGACGCGAACAGCGGGTACCTCTTGTGGAACGCCACCCCGCGCACCGCAGTACCATGCAGCCGCAACGTCTGGTACGGCTTCGTACTCAAATCCAAATCGAACCACAACATCTTCCTATCGTACGTCCCCACGAGGAGATTATCGCCGCCTGGGTGGATCGCCATCGTGGAAATCCACTTGGAGTTCGTGAGCAGCTTCTTCATGAGGTTCTGCTTCACCAGGTCGTATATCCGGACGTGTCGCTGCGTGGCGACGAAAAGAAACGGTTTCGTGGGGTGGAAGAGGACGCATTGGACTAGACCTTTGGATTTGGTGAAGGGTAGCTGAGAGCGTCTTCTGCTGATTTGGTTGATGAGGACTGAGCGGTTGAGGCCGTCGGGCATTACGGTGGCGAAGTAGTCGCCTTTGCCGTGCCACGTGACCTGAGACACTTCTTTGAAGTGTTTGAGGGTGATTCGGACACCTCGGTCGAAGAGATTGGCTTCGACGGAGTTGCACCACTCGACTGTGGTCTTGATGCGTTCGCTGACTATAGCGTCGCTTTGGGGAGGGGTTTCGAGGATGGAGTCCGTCTTGCTGCAGACGACGAAGTCACCTAGGTGAGGGTTGATGAGTAAGACGCGGTTGCCTGAAGCTACGAGGATGAGGGAGAGCGCGGAATTCGGGCACCATTCTACTGAACGTACCACACCGTCAGTTTCTATCGTTTTCAAACACCTTCCAGTGTTGATCTCCCACAGTTTGATAGTACCATCATCGGAACCACTCACCAAGTACTGACCAGTTTTATCAGTACTGATCGTACGGACCATATCACTGTGACCTTTGTAGATTCAAAATTAAATTGTAGGTGAAACGAAGTTCACGGGGTCATCTAGTAATTTGATAAAATTACATTTGAAAGCGAAGGCACAAATCAGTAAAAATCGAGTAATAAGTAGTTAATAGTATATTATTAGCCAAGGTTGCAAGGTCTAGAAGTGGCTTTGCAACCGTGGTTAATATACTATTTTTTTCACTAGTAAGTAGAAACCATAAGACAATAAACTGAAAAAATAAACGTTCAATTTTTGACGCAGTAAGATTTTGTTTTGATTTCTAATCAAACTTAATCTAAATCTTCAACACTAAGAAAACCGTTTATACTTGTCGCTGAATTAATCATTTTATCTTCTACCGTCTACCAACTACCATGTGTGTACTCAAGTAATGTTAGTAGCACACATTTGTTCATTTTTTTAAGAAAAAATCACATCAAACATTGCGTACATAACCTCAATTTTTCTTTTTGAACCCGTGGTCGCAAAAGTTGAATTTGCTACCTCTAAATGAGTCGACATTTGCATGCGTCATGGCTGCTAGTGAAAAAAAATATTTGACGTATCAAAAATTGTCAAAGTTTTCAAAACCCTACGTTTAAAATGTTCGCAGTTAATTTTAGGTTCCCTGGTGTGTAATTTTCGGATAAACTTAAAGGAATCTGGTGTTTTGTTGCTGGACGAACTTGAAAAAATCTTTTGAGCTTTTAGTGTTTTACTTTTTATGAATTTGAAAAAGTCTTGAGTGCCGCAGTATTTTTTTTTAATTCAACTGTTGTTCAATTATTGGAAAATTCTGACCTGACCTGTTTTTGAGTTAAATTTGGGACTAAGTTTTTTTTTTTTGAAAAATTTAAAACCATCTTGAGGTTCTAGGAAAGAATTTGAAATTGCTTTGGAGCCTGTTGTGTCTTTTCTTATAACAATTTAAATTTCTTAGAGGATATATCATTTGCCAAAATCAGTCTTATCTTAGAAGGTAGTTGCCCCGCCCACCCACCCTCACTTTTCTTGCAGAGAATGCCGTCTGCCAAAATCGGTCTTATTTAAACAGGTATTAGCCCCGCCTACCCACCCTCTCTTTTCTTAGAAAATATTTCATTTGCCAAATTCAGTCTTGTCTTAGCAACTACTAGCCCCGCCCGCCCACCCACCCTCTCTTTTCTTAGAAGGTACGAATTTGAAAGTCTTGAGTGCCGCAGTCTTTGGGTATTCATGATATGTTATTTTGGAAGCCCATGGACACTTTTTATAAATTATTTAAAACAATTTTGGGGGACATTAGTGTTCTATTTTTGGATAATTTTGACCTTACCTGTTTTTGAGTTACTTTTGGAATCTAAATTTTTTTTTGAAAAATTTAAACAGTCTTGAGGTTCTAGGTATTCGTGTTTGGAAAGAATTTGAAAGTGCTTTGGGGTCTGTAGTGTGTTTTCTTATAATAATTTAATTAAATTTCGTAGAGGATATGTCCTTCGCTAAAATCAGTCTAATTGTAGCAGCTACTAGCCCCGCCCACCTACCCCCTTTTTTCTTAGAGGGTATGTCGTTTGCCAAAATCAGTTTTATCTTAGTTAGCTAGTACTTGTTAAGATAATACTGATTTTGGCAAATCACATGCCTTCCAAGAAAATAGAGGGTGGGTGGGCGGGGCCAATACTTGATAAGATAAAACTAATTTTGGCACTTTTGAACACTCAACTATTTTCGAAAATTAGTGGGAATAATTTTCTAGCCCCGCCCACCCGCCCTCTCTTTTCTTAGAGGATATTTCATTTGCCAAATTCAGTATTATCTTACCAGGGTACTAGCCCCGCCCACCCACCCTCTCTTTTCTTAGAAGGTATGTTATATGCCAAAATCAGTCATATCTTAGCTAGATATTTGCTAAGATAAGACTGATTTTGGCAAATCACATTCCCTCCAAGGAAATAGAGGGTGGGTGGGCGGGGCTAATATTTGATAAGATAAAATTGATTGTGGCAAATCACATTCCCTCCAAGAAAATAGAGGGTGGGTGGGCGGGGCAAGTATTTGATAAGATAAAACTAATTTTGACACTTTTGACCACTCGACTATTTTAATAATAATAATAATAATGATATATTTGCCCAACAGAATAATATCCAATAATTATAGGACAATTAATCTTATCCAAAATAAATTAAATGACACGTAAACATAACGATAAGTAAGCTAAACTAATTTTCGAAAATTAGTGGGAATAATTTTTTAGCCCCGCCCGCTCGCCCTCTATTTTCCTAGAGAATATGTCATTTGCCAAAATCAGTCTTAGCAGGTACAATCCTCTCTTTTCTTAGAGGGAGTGTCATACTTCATAATGAGCCTCATTATCTGCAAAATAAAATTTCAATTCGAAGTTCTGTACATGACAGAAACCTGCGACAAATGGATCTGACAGTTGACATACCTTTTCATTCTTTGAGTTCATATAAATCGTCATTTTTATATTGAGCTGCATATGTCATAAATAACGTTTTACGTCATTATGCCAACTTAAATAACCATTATATCATCAAATCTGTAAAGGATCTCGTATTGGCTGAGCAAGCAGAAATAAAATTAAAATTAAATTTAAATCTTTTTTAAAGTCTGTACCTTTAATACTATCTATAAAAAATTATGTTCCTCTTTCATATTTTACAACTTGTATTTCATATCTCATTTCTTTTCAACATAGGGACAGATTATAAATCAGTAATACTGAATCTGTTTTTTTTCCATTTTGAGTGTGCATTATTTATTTATTTTTGTTTACTTGTATTTTTTTTTTATTTATGGTACTCAATAAAGTTATTATTATTATTACTATTATATGCCAAAATCAGTCTTATCTTAGCGGCTACTAGCCCCGCCCACCCACCCTCACTTTTCTTGCAGGGAATACCATCTGCCAAAATCGGTCTTCTTTAAACAGATATTAGCCCCGCCCACCCGCCCCTCTCTTTTCTTAGAGGATATTTCATTTGCCAAATTCAGTATTATCTTACCAGGGTACTAGCCCCACCCACCCACCCTTTCTTTTCGTAGAGAGTATGTTATATGCCAAAATCAATCATATCTTAGCTAGGTATTTGCTAAGATAAGACTGATTTTGGCAAATCACATATCCTCCAAGAAAATAGAGGGTGGGTGGGCGGGGCTAGTATTTGATAAGATAAAACTGATTTCGGCAAATCACATTCCTTCCAAGAAAATAGAGGGTGGGTGGGCGGGGCTAGTATTTGATAAGATGAAACTAATTTCGGCACTTTTGACCACTCAATTATTTTCGAAAATTAGTGGGAATAATTTTCTAGCCCCGCCCGCCGCCCTTTATTTTCTTAGAGAATATGTCATTTGCCAAAATCAGTCTTAACAGGTACAAGCCACGCTCGCCCATCCTCTCTTTTCTTACAGGGAATGTCATTTGCCAAAATCGGTCTCATTTAAACAGGTATTAGCCCCGCCCACCCGCCCTCTCTTTTCTTACTAGAGGATATTTCATTTGCCAAAATCAGTCTTATATTAGCAACTACTAGCCCCGCCCACCCACCCTCTCTTTCTTAGAGGGTACGAATGTAAGTGTCAACAATTATCTTTCAATTGTTTTTTAAATTAACATCTAAAAAACGTTCAAATTTTAGCTAGAAACGAAGTTTTTGGCGAAATTTGACAGTTTCGAGCAACACATTTACAGCGCAAGTCTAGAAACAAACTCATTATTACTTAATAAGATTTATTAACAAATTAACAACTTGATCGTCTCATTCGCCCCCGAAAACAAACCCTTTTTTGTTTACTAACATCTCTACATCTGATGCGATTTGACTTGACCTAGTTTGTCTTAAATTGAGATAATTTAACCCGATTTACTATGACCTATATGATTAATCGTGAGCCGACTTGACTCCACCTAACTTGAAGTAGTAGCTGGGTAAACGAAGTAAAGATAAGCCGCTCTGTAGCCTAGTGGTCAAGGTCCCCGCCCGGTGAGTGGAAGATGTTCGATTTCCACCGGGGCAGCACACATTTATTTTTCTTCACTTACCTACAGTGACTTAATTAGCTCTGATCTGACTTACATTGAGTTAATTGAACGCGATTTAATCCTGACCTGATGTCCAGAAATGTGACTTTTACAATTTTTCTTACCTTTTTGTTTTAATATGTGTAGACTTCTTTTCACAATATGAAACTTAAAACATGTTTAAAATGAAAAATTCTAGCCCCATAATTGCAAAATGCATATTTTCTTGCAAAAATGTGCCATTTTAACCATGTTTTAAGTTTCTTGTTGTATATTAAGACAAAAAAGCATAATATAAAAAATAAAATCCTTATTTTTCTACGAGACATAAAAAACATTATTGAGTCTCGTGTTGTTCAAAGAATACTATATAGTGTAACATACATATATATTAGATACACGTTATAGTAGACATTTTACAATTTTGGGGATAACAAAAGGCGATAAAAAGGCAGAAAAAGTGAACACAGAAGACGAAAAAAAACATTGAAAAAAAGGTGACAAAAAGAAACCAAAATGGTTAAAAGCAACTAAAACAAGGGAAAAACAATGAATAAAAAAATGTAACTGAAAAAAGAGACCAAAGAAACGACAAAAAGGACCAAACATGCGATAAAAAAGAAGCAAAACATGGCATAAGACGAAAAAACCGCAAAAAAGTGATACAAAGAGGACAAAAAAGGGTAAGAGAAGGGCCATAGAACAAACGACAAAAAGAGAGACAAAAGCGCCGCATAAAGAAAACCACTGAAACAAAACAAAACAGACAGAAAAAGCTACACAAAAATGAGAAAAAAAGCATTTTAACTGACATTTACGTTGAAAATTGCAAATTTGTCATAATTCTCAAAAAATCTAGTATTATAATTTGAAGCTTGGTATTTATAGGAAAAAACGGATAGTTCAGGTTCCGTTTAAAAAATTATTTAAATTTTAAATTCATTCCAAAATTTCGATTTTTTTCATGCGAAATTTCGACTTGCAAATGACAAAGCATCAAGTTTTTAATTTTTATTTAAAGAAAAGATCTTTTTCCTGAGGAAAACTTAAAATCTATATATTTCCAAATTTGTTTGAATTTTCAGACAAAAAAGTTGTCTTCCACAATGCACACGAAAATTAGAAAATAGAACGAAATCCACAAAAGTCTCAATAATGTTACAGAAAATTAAAGGAAACCAGAGAATCAATTATTTGTTTTCATCATAAATTACTGTTGTAAATAAGTTTCATCCTGACGTACCCTGACTTCACTAGGCTTAGCTTGGCTCGAACTGACCTGACTTAAAATAAGTCAACCTAATCCGACTTAATCAGACGTAACCTGACTTGAAGTGACCTGACCTACTCTGACTTAACTTAAGCTAATCTATCGCGACTTAATTTGACCTAACCTAACTTAAATTAGTTAATCTGGCTTGATTTAATCATGACTTGACCTCCAGAAATGTAACTTTTAACAATTTTTCTCCATCTCTTTAGATTTAGTACCACGAAAATGCCCAAATTTTAATTAGAAAAACCCATCATTCCTTAATAAAATTTATTAACAAATTAATTAGAATACAACTTGATCGTCCCATCCGCCCCCGACGAGAACACCCACGGCTGCAACGGATGAAAATGCACCCCGAAAATCCCAAAATCGTTGCTACCCTCATGGTCCTGCAGCCTCTTCAGCGGCACAATCAGCGGATTCTTCAGCAGATCGTTATACACCATCCCGTGCGACACAATCAGACTCTTATCATCCGAGCCCGACGCGAACAGCGGGTACCTCTTGTGGAACGCCACCCCGCGCACCGCAGTACCATGCAGCCGCAACGTCTGGTACGGCTTCGTACTCAGATCCAAATCGAACCACAACATCTTCCTATCGTACGTCCCCACGAGGAGATTATCACCCCCTGGGTGGATCGCCATCGTGGAAATCCACTTGGAGTTCGTGAGCAGCTTCTTCATGAGGTTCTGCTTCACCAGGTCGTAAATCCGGACGTGCCGCTGCGTGGCGACGAAAAGAAACGGTTTCGTGGGGTGGAAGAGGACGCATTGGACTAGACCTTTGGATTTGGTGAAGGGTAGCTGAGAGCGTCTTCTGCTGATTTGGTTGATGAGGACTGAGCGGTTGAGGCCGTCGGGCATTACGGTGGCGAAGTAGTCGCCTTTGCCGTGCCAGGTGACTTGAGACACTTCTTTGAAGTGTTTGAGGGTGATTCGGACACCTCGGTCGAAGAGATTGGCTTCGACGGAATTGCACCACTCGACTGTGGTCTTGATGCGTTCGCTGACTATAGCGTCGCTTTGGGGAGGGGTTTCGAGGATGGAGTCCGTCTTGCTGCAGACGACGAAGTCGCCTAGGTGAGGGTTGATGAGTAAGACGCGGTTGCCTGACGCTACGAGGATGAGGGAGAGCGCGGAATTCGGGCACCATTCTACCGAACGTACCACACCGTCAGTTTCTATCGTTTTCAAACACCTTCCAGTGTTGATCTCCCAAAGTTTGATAGTACCATCGTCGGAACCGCTCACCAAGTACTGACCAGTTTTATCAGTACTGATAGTACGGACCATATCACTGTGACCTTTATACTCAATCGCGAGTACCGTAGGGAATGGCTGCAAATCTTTAGGACTCGGTAGTTTCGGTACCAACGACTCTGGTTCAATATTCAGCTTCATTTTTATCCCCCTCGGACACAAATACAAGTCCAAACACCTCAAAAACCTCTCTTTTATGTACCTCGGGTACGCCGGTACTTGCCTCAACGACTGGAACTTCTGAGGAACGAAGTGCAACTTGCGCTTCCACGGCGTATTTTTGAACTTATTCCACTGTTTCATCTCCTTCTCGTCGAACAAGTACTCCGGAGGAGGATTATAGGACTCCGCATGCCCCGGCAGGTGCCTCTTCGGCGCCGCTATATGCTGATGGATCCTCCTCATCTCCTCCGCTTGATCGTCGCTCCCCCACAACATATAAAACTGCGGCTCTTTCTTCGCCCTCAACTTCTCGGCTTCGGCTCTCGTCTTGATCCACCCCATCTTCAGCGCGTGCACCAACTTCGACACCTTCTTCGCGTCGCTTTTGCTCGGAAGGAACGACCTTTTGTGCTCCGGGAACTTCCGCAAGGGCATCTGCATCACCTCGCTGGTGAACCACTCGATCCATGGCGCGTACTCGTCGAAGGTGACGTCCGGAATCTTGTTGGCCTTGATGCGTTTGATCAAGTTGATATCGTCGTCGGAGAGGATGACGTTTTGCCCGGTCTGGGGGTCCTTGACGGTGCGCCAGAAGTCCGGGTCTTCCATGCGCTTCAAGAAGTTGTCCAACTGGTCGCCGGTCTCGGGCTTGATTATCTGGTTGCCGTCCCAGTCGTACCCCAGGTGCTTGTAGTCGTCGTACCAGTTCTTGGGGATGTTGCCGACGGTGTTGCGGATGTCTTCTTCGTCGGAGGTGTCGTGGTCGTCGTATTCGTCGGGTTTCGACTGAGATGGAGGCGGCGTCTGCGTGTTTTCTTCTTCTTCTTCGTGGTCTTCACCGTCGTCGTCGTCACTGTCTTGATCTTCCTCTTCGTCATCGTCGCTGTCGTCTTGGTCGTCGTTTTCGCTACCCTCGTTGCTTTCTTCGTCGCTATCGTCATCTTCATCGTCATCCTCTAGTGCGAGCTCGTCTTCGTCGCTGGATTCGACTTCTCCGTCGGAATCTGAACTGTCCTCCTCGTCGCCATTGACAACATTGAGAAATTCATCCTGGAAAGAAAATGTTGATGTACTTTATTCGCACCTAGATTTTGGTGAATGACTGAACAATTTTAAGAGTAATCACTGGAATGAAGAGGGGGTGGGTGGGCGGGGCTATTGCTTGCGTATAAAAGATGCTGTAGGAAAAAGTTAAATTTAGCCCCGCCCACCCACCCATTCTCCAATTTTTTTCTTCAGAAATAAGAAGAAATAAGTAGTATTACAAAAAAATTACGATTAACGCTTTTTTTAACAGCCTACGTTCTATTAGTTTCTTCTTTTATTTGATACAACCCTTATTTAATTTTATTATTTTTAAAGATAAACCTCTAGTTCTTTCAGAAAAGTTTTATTATCACTTGAAAAATTGACACTCATGTCATTCATTAACATAAGTGATATTCTAAAATTATAGAAATTAAAAATAAAACATTATCAAATAAAAGACACACCTGGTATAATTCACCCCGCCCACCCACCCTGTCTCCATTTCAATTGATTCATTCTATCTAGTCCGAATGAAAGGTGGATTTCAATTGAAGAGAGATAAAATCGTTAGAATGAGAACAGTACTTGTTAAGATAAGATTGATTTTGATAAATCACATATCCTCTAAGAAAAAAAGGGTGGGTGGGCGGGGCTAAAACTTGATAAGATAGGACTGAACTCGGTATGAAATGCGAATTTTTGAAAATTTCTAAAAATTTAGATATTTCAACGGTCGATTCCGGAAAAACGGTTGCAGTTATCAAAGAAACGATGCCCGAAGTGAGTTCTAAAGCTCGAAATCTACAAGAAAATGTATTTAGTCAAGTTTCGAAAATGCCAAAATTTGGCCGAAATTTGAAGAAGGGGAAAAATTTCAGTTTTAAAAAAGTTGTCTAAAAATTGTGAACAAATTCAGGGACGTAGATCTGGACATGTTGATTCTAAAAATATAGGGTGTTGATGGTCACGGAGCAACATTTTTGAAAGAATCGGTACGAAATGCGAATTTTGGAAAATTTCTAAAAATTTCGATATTTCAACGGTCGATTCCGGAAAAACGGTTGCAGTTATCAAAGAAACGAGGCCCGAAGTGAGTTCTAGAGCTCGAAATCTACACGAAAACGTGTTTAGTCAAGTTTCGAAAATGTCAAAAATTAGCCGAAATTTGAAGAAGGGGGGACCATTGGAAAAATTTCACTTTAAAAAAAGTTGTCCAAAAATTGTGAAAAAAATCAGGGACGTAGATCTCGACATGCTGATTCCAAAAATATGGCGTGTTGATGGTCACGGAGCAACATTTTCGAAAGAATCGGACGAAATGCGAATTTTTGAAGATTTCTAAAAATTTCGATAATTCAACGGCGGATTCCGGAAAAACGGTTGCAGTTATCAAAGAAACGAGGCCCGAAGTGAGTTCTAGAGTTCGAAGTCTACAAGAAAATGTATTTAGTTCAGTTTCGAAAATGTCAAAAATTGGCCGAAATTTGAAGAAGGGGGGACCATTGAAAAATTTCACTTTTAAAAAAGTTGTCGAAAAATTACGAAAAAATTCAGGGACGTAGATCTCGACATGCTGATTCTAAAAATATAGCGTGTTGATGGTCACGAAGCAACATTTTCGAAAGAATCTGTACGAAATGCGAATTTTTGAAAATTTCTAAAAATTTCGATATTTCAACGGTGGATTCCGAAAAAACGGTTGCAGTTATCAAAGAAACGAGGCCGGAAGTGCGTTCTAGAGCTCGAAATCTACAAGAAAATGTATTCAGTTAAGTTTCGAAAATGTCAAAAATTAGCCGAAATTTGAAGAAGGGGGGACCATTGGAAAAATTTCGCTTTTAAAAAAGTTGTCCAAAAATTGTGAAAAAATTCAGGGACTTAGATCTCGACATGCTGATTTCAAAAACATAGCGCGTTGATGGTCACGGAGCAACATTTTCGAAAGAATCGGTACGAAATGCGAATTTTTGAAAATTTCTAAAAATTTCGATATTTCAACGGTGGATTCCGGAAAAACGGTTGCAGTTATCACAGAAAAGATGCCGAAAGTGAGTTCTAGAGCTCGAAATCTACACCAAAACGTATTTAGTCAAGTTTCGAAAATGTCAAAAATTAGCCGAAATTTGAAGAAGGGGGAACCATTGAAAAAATTTCACTTTCAAAAAAGTTGTCTAAAAATTTCGAAAAAATTCAGGGACGTAGATCTCGACATGCTGATTCCAAAAATATAGTGTGTTGATGGTCACGGAGCAATATTTTCGGAAAATTCGGTGTGAAATTCGAATTTTTCTAAATTTTTAAAAAATTCTGGAAAAACCGTTTAAGTTCTGGAAGAAATGAAGCCAAAAGTGACTTCTCAGTCACTTCAGTGTTTTAGAATTGAAATTGAATTTGGAATTCCAAGATTGGGGTTTGTGAGATTGAAGATTTCAAGCTTTCATATTTAGCATTTTTGAAGAATTCAGTTTCTTAGGAGTCGTGGAATCCAGGATATCAGAATTCGTAATTTTAGAAATACATTTTTAGGATTGCAGGGATTATGATGTCACAACTATAGTTTCAAAACTTACGTTGGTGAATACGAAATTTCAAGATTACAATTTTAGGATCGATTCAAAATTTACAATTTTAGAATTTCAGAATTTGGAATTTTGGAATTTAGGATTGCAAGAATGATGACTTCAAGAACTAAACCTTCAAAATTAGATTTTTGAACACGAAATTTCGAGATTTAGAATTTTAGGATCGATTCAAAATTTGCGATTTCTGGAACGAGCACTTCAGGATTTGGAATTTCGCGAGTCTATTTATGAGATTTAGAATTTTAACTTCATGACTCGCGGTTTTTATGGATTTTTAAGATCTGATATTCAGGATTTTAGTATTTCAGAATTCGAATTTTTGGAATCATTACTGCAGGAATGATGACTTCAGGAACTGCACTTTCAAAATTCACAATTTTAGAATTTCAGACTTCGGAATTTTGGAATTTAGGATTGCAAGAATGAAGACTTCAAGAACAATGCCTTCAAAATTAGATTTTTGAACGCGAAATTTCAAAATTTAGAGTTTGAGGATCGATTCAAAATTTGCAATTTCTGGAATGAACATTTCGGGATTTGGAATTTCGCGATTCTATTTATGAGATTCAGAATTTTAAATTCACGACTCGCGGTTTTTATGGATTTTTAAGTTCTGATATTCAGGATTTTAAAATTTCAGAAGTCGAATTTTTGGAATCATTATTGCAGAAATGATAATAACTTCAGGAACCACGCTTTCAAAATTCACAATTTTAGAATTTCAGACTTCGGAATTTTGGAATTTAGGATTGCAAGAATGAAGACTTCAAGAACATGCCTTCAAAATTAGATTTTTGAACGCGAAATTTCAAAATTTAGAATTTGAGGACCGATTCAAAATTTACGATTTCTGGAATGAGCACTTCAGGATTTGGAATTTCGCGAGTCTATTTATGAGATTCAGAATTTTAAATTCACGACTCGCGGTTTTTATGGATTTTTAAGTTCTGATATTCAGGATTTTAAAATTTCAGAATTCGAATTTTTGGAATCATTATTGCAGAAATGATAATAACTTCAGGAACCACGCTTTCAAAATTCACAATTTTAGAATTTCTGACTTCGGAATTTTGGAATTTAGGACTGCAAGAATGAAAACTTCAAGAACAGTGCCTCCAAAATTAGATTTTTGAACGCGAAATTTCAAAATTTAGAATTTGAGGATTGATTCAAAATTTGCGACTTCTGGAATGAGCATTTCAGGATTTGGAATCTCGCGAGTCTGTTTATGAGAATCAGAATTTTAAATTCATGACTCGCGGTCATTATGGATTTTTAAGTTCTGATATTCAGGATGTTAGAAATTCAAAATACGAATTTTTGGAATCATTATTGCAGGAATGATGACTTCAAGAACTACGCTTTCAAAATTCACAATTTTAGAATTTCAGACTTCGGAATTCTGGAATTTAGGATTTCAAGAATGAAGACTTCAAGAACTATGCCTTCAAAATTAGATTTTTGAACGCGAAATTTCAAAATTTAGAGTTTGGGGATCGATTCAAAATTTGCGATTTCTGGAAAGAGCATTTCAGAATTTGGAATCTCGCGAGTCTGCATTATGAGATTCAGGATTTTAAATTCATGACTCGCGGTTTTTATGGATTTAAGTGTCTGATATTCAGGATTTTAGAATTTCTGAATTCAAATTTTTGAAATTTAGTTTTTAGGAATCATTAATATAGGAATGATGATTTCGGGAACTACACTTTCAAAATTTAGATTTCTGAACACGAAATTTCAAGATTTACAATATTAGGATCAATTCAAAATACACAATTTTTGGAATTTCAGAATTCGCAATTTTGGAATTTAGGGTTGCAAGCATGAAGACTTCAAGAACTGGATTATCAAAATTAGATCTTTGACCATGAAATTTCAGTAATTAGATTTTTGAATGATATTTCAAAATTTAGAATTTTAGAATCGATTAAAATTCGCGATTTCTGGAATGAGCATTTCAGTCAGGATTTGGAATTTCGCGAGTCTGCATTATGAGATTCATGATTTTAAATTTATGACTCGCGGTTTTTATGGATGTAAGTGTCTGATATTCAGGATTTTAGAATTTCTGAATTCAAATTTTTGAAATTTAGTTTTTAGGAATCATTATTATAGGAATGATGATTTCGGGAACTACACTTTCAAAATTTAGATTTCTGAACACGAAATTTCAAAATTTACAAAATTAGGATCAATTCAAAATTCACAATTTTAGAATTTCAGAATTAGGAATTTTGTAATTTAGGGTTGCAAGCATGAAGACTTCAAGAGCTGAACTTTCAAATTAGATCTTTGAACATGAAATTTCAGTAATTAGATTTTTGAATGATATTTCAAAATTTAGAATTTTAGGATCGATTAAAATTTGCGATTTCTGGAATGAGCATTTCAGGATTTGGAATCTCGCGAGTCTGCATTATGAGATTCAGGATTTTAAATTCATGACTCGAGGTTTTTATGGATTTAAGTGTCTGATATTCAGGATTTTACAATTTCAGAATCCGAATTTTTAGAATTCGGTTTTTAGGAATCATTATTATAGGAGTGATGATTTCGGAAACTACACTTTCAAAATTTAGATTTCTGAACACGAAATTTCAAGATTTACAATATTAGAATCAATTCAAAATTAACAATTTTAGAATTTCAGAATTCGGAATTTTGGAATTTAGGGTTGCAAGCATGAAGACTCCAAGAGCTGAACTTTCAAAATTAGATCTTTGAACATGAAATTTCAAAAACTAGATTTTTGAATATTTCGAAATTTAGAATTTTAGGATCGATTAAAATTTTTTGCGATTTCTGGAATGAGCATTTCAGGATTTGGAATTTCGTGAGTCTGCATTATGAGATTCAGGATTTTAAATTCACGACTCGCGGTTTTTATGGATTTAAGTTTCTGATATTCAGGATTTTAGAATTTCTGAATTCGAATTTTTGGAATTTAGTTTTTAGGAATCATTAATATAGGAATGATGATTTCGGGAATTACACTTTCAAAATTTAGATTTCTGAACACGAAGTTTCTAGATTTACAATATTAGGATCAATTCAAAATTCACAATTTTAGAATTTCAGAATTCGGAATTTTGGAATTTAGGGTTGCAAGAATAAAGACTTCAAGAACTGGACTTTCAAAATTAGATCTTTGAACACGAAATTTCAAAAATTAGATTTTTGAATATTTCGAAATTTAGAATTTTAGGATCGATTAAAATTTGCGATTTCTGGAATGAGCATTTCAGGATTTGGAATTTCGCAAGTCTGTACTATGAGATTCAGGATTTTAGAATTTCAGAATTCGAATTTTTGGAATTCAGCTTTTAGGAATCATTATTGCAGCAATTATGATTTCAGGAAATTACACATTCAAGATTTAGATTTCCGAATACGAAAGTTCAAGATTTACCATTTTAGGTTCGAATCAAAATTCACACATTCAAGATTTAGATTACTGAATACGAAAGTTCAAGATTTACAATTTTAGGATCGAGTCAAAATTCACATTTTAGATTCACAGAATTTAGGATTGCTAGAATCATATTATTGGTGTAATTTATAGAATTAGATGTGTTCAACGTGGCCCCCATTCAACCTAACCACACTCTCAAAAAAAAAAAACCCACTAACCTCGCTTTCCACCGATTCGGCCCCCGAGTCTCTCTCCTCGCTCGGTTTTTCCAATTTCCTCTTCAAAATCTTCTCCTTATTGCCCATTTTCACTTTTGTTTATCACCCACAACACATGTTAAAAGTGAGGTTAACAATCCGGACACGATTACGTTGGCAACGCATCTAGTGACATTTCACCGGTTGGCAGACCTTTCCAATGACAAATCGTTACAAACAGAAAAAATTTAATTTGAAAAGTAACACAAAATTAACAACATTCTAACAGTTTAGTGGCGTCTGATTAGGGCAGTTCGTGAAAATCCAACTTATAGGAACATTTTTGTGTGGGTTGCTGTTCGTTTTCCATAGTCCATGGTTCGTCGCACTCTTCGTACTTCGTCAGAGGTAAATCAAACATGATGGGGAACACTTGGAAGCTGTCGTCGTCGATTTGAAAGTAGTCTTCGTCGAAGAAACGCGGTATGAATAGGACTCCAATTTCGTGGTTTCTGACGTAAATTCCGTCGTATTTTCGCTGCCCCCAGCCCCCTCTAGCCGCGTTGGCAGTGGTTAGTAAAAACCACCCCACTTTCGTGGAGCAGGGGGAGATCCTACAAAGTGTTTTACAATTACTGATGACCCCACTTCTGCCAAGTTTGTCGGCTTTCCATTGCCTGAAATTCACCCCAAATAGACATTTCATTTTTAAATAAATAAAAAAAATACCACAAGTAGCGCTCCAGCCATTTTTGTTTGTCATGTATTGCTTTCAGGTACCTCAAACCCGTCACACTCTCCCTCGGAAAAATCCCTCCTTCCACGTTAGCAACCGATGGATATATTATTTGGAATGGAGCTGTCGACTGAAGATTCACCAACAAAGTGGACTCCAACCAGTTCCTGTCGTTTTCCCCGTACGACCCCAAACACGACGCCTGGATCACCACAGGCCAGTCCTTCTGATCAGGTACGTCACAATAATTGTCCAGGAGAATCGCCATTTGCTGGAGGAGGCTCCAGGGTCGCTCGGTGGGGTGGCAGCCCGGTAACGACGTCACTAAAAACACCCTCACGTCATGGAAATCGGCGCGCTTTACATAGTCAATCCAGGTGCCCAAAACCGGCAGTTTGTACTGTTTTAAAAACAGGATAAGGTCGCTTTTGAAGCCAGTGGGGGAATCACGAGCGCATTCAGACATTCGACATAAAGGACTCACCCAAAAGCTGAAACTTACCGTAGTGAATTGTATTGTTTCATTGTAAAATTACCAGTGGTTGAAGTGCTCCCAGTGGTCTTGGTACAAATTCGCGCTGGACACCACCACTCGAACTGAGTCGTCGTCGTAAACGAAAATCGCTAGTTTTCTGAAATAATGATAACTGAGTATGAAAAGGGGGTTTGTGGGGGCGAAATTACGAGCGGTGGCTTCCGTGTAAGTCACTGACCGCCACACAGTGGGATTTCACGTTGGGCAAATTATCAGAGACGTATTTTTCCAGTTCTGGGTTTTCTTCGCCATATAGTATCGTTAGAGGTTTGGACCTGAAACTTCTACCTGTGTTGGTGTTTTTGTGTTTTTTACGTACCGCAAGTGTTTTTGGTCGTACTGATTCATGAGCCACTCGATGTCCACTTTAAACGTTATTTGGAGCGAGGTTTTCAGTTTGCCTAAGCTGGGGCACAGCAAGTCCGTGAAGAAAATCGTGTTGTCTTGCTGGGGTACGCAGGGGATTGTGTTGTAGAAGATGTTGTATGGGGCGGCTAAATGTAGCTTTTGGATCATCGTTGCCATGGTTTTTGAATGGTACTAATGGTACTTGTGTGACGAACGACCAATCAGCTGTTTGTAGTACGAAACGTGGGTCCAGGAGTGGATGGTCAGTCGATTTTAGTCGAGGTTACCCGAGCGTCTATCAATTTTGAAAAAAATCGAGATAATTTTGTCTAAAAAAGTTCGGTGTTTAATTTTTTTAAAATAAGATATTTCTGCGCTTGTGGTGGATGAATCCGTTGAGATTCACACTAGACGTACGGATTTTTGGAAAACATTATTCATTTACACTCTTCCAAAAAATTTATGACGTCATCACAATTTTCGTTTTTTTGACTTTAATTTTGCAATTTTTAATTTTTCGATTTTCCAAGATCTTGATTTTTATTTTCCATTTTTTGATTTTTCGTTTATAATTTTTTTATTTTTAAATTTTGCAAATTTTGGGGGTTTCAGTTATCCGATTTTCCGATTTCTTTAATTTTCAATATTTCGATTTTACAATATTACGTTTTTTAGGTTTTGTACTTCTTTAGTTTTTAAGTTTCTCAATTTTTAATCTTTCAGTTTTACAATTTTTTCTTTTTTTTATTTAAGAAGTTGAAAAATCGAAAAACTGATAAAACGAGAAATTGAAACATTGAAAAACCTAAAATTGAAAGAAAGGGAAAAATTTAAAAAATGCAAAAGTTGAAAAACCGAAAAATTCCAGTCTGAAGACTAGAAAAATTGCAAATCGAAAAACTGAAGATATAAATGAACTGAAAAATTGAAGAATTGAAAAATTCAAGTCAGAAAACAATTTTCTAACTTCATTTCTTCGATTTTCCGTATTTTCAAATTTTCGATTTTTCGATTTTTTGATATCCAATTTTTTGACTTTCTTTTTCCGATGTTTTTAATTTTCCAAGTCAACTTTTAAATTTTCGATTTTCCATTTTTCGACCTTCCATTTTCGATTTTAGATTCTTCGATTTTTTGGTTATTTCGAATTTTTGATTATCAATTTTGACTTTTTTCGAAATTCAATATTTCGAATTTTCCATTTTTTGAATTTTCGACGATTCGAATTTTCGATTTTCCATTTTTCGATTTTCGATTCTTTGATTTTTTGGTTATTTCGAATTTTTGATTATCAATTTTGGAATTTTTCGAAATTCAATATTTCGAATTTTCAATTTTTTGAATTTTTGACATTTCGAATTTTCGATTTTTTGAATTATCGACATTCCGAATACCCGATTTTCATTGTTTCGAATTTTCCAATTCCAATTCTTCGATTTTCTAAATTCTCGATTTTAGATTTTCTGATTTTCGATTGTTTGATTTCAGATTTCTCGATTTTCTGTTTCCGATTTTTTAAATTTTCTAGATTTTCAATTTCTCGATTTTCCATTTTTCGATCTTCTATTTTTCAGCTTTCCATTTTTTGATTCTTCAATTTTCGATTCTTCAATTTTTTGGTTATTTCGAATTTTCGATGATCAGTTTTGGGATTTTTCGAAATTAAATATTTCGAATTTTCCATTTTTTGAATTTTCCACATTTCGAATTCCCGATTTTCAATTTTTCGATTTTTTGAATTTTCCAATTTCAATTCTTCGATTTTCCGAATTCTCGATTTACGATTTTTTGATTTCTGATCCTTCGATTTTTTGCTTATTTCGAAATTTTGATTATCAATTTTGAGATTTTTCGAAATTCAGTATTTCGAATTTTCCATTTTTTGAATTTTCGATTTCTCGATTTGCAATTTTTCGAATTTTTGGATTTTCCAATTTCAATTCTGCGATTTTACGATTTCCGATTTTTGAATTTTCGATTTTTTGTGTTTTCCAATTTCAATTCTTCGATTTTTCGAGTTTTCAATTTTAGATATTTCGATTTTCTATTTCCGATTTTTTTCATTTTCGATGTTTCGGTTTTTTATTTTCGATTTTTTGAATTTTTGATTCCAATTCTGGATTTTCGATTTTTTGGTTACTTCGAATTTTTGATTATCAATTTTGGGACTTTTCGAAATTCAATACTTTAATTTTTCCATTTTTTGATTTTTCGACATTTCGAATTTTCGATTTTTTTAATTTTCGACATTCCGAATTCCCGATTTTCAATTTTTCGAATTTTTGAATTTTTCAATTTCAATTCTTCGATTTTCCAAATTCTCGATTTTAGGTTCTCTGATTTTCGATTGTTTGATTTCCGATTTCTGGATTTTCTGTTTCCGATTTTTTAAATTTTCTAGATTTTCCAATTTCTCGATTTTCCATTTTTCAATGTTCCATTTTTCGGCTTTCCATTTTTTATTATTCAATTTTCGATTTTCCATTTTTTGATTTTCGATTCTTCAATTTTTTGGTAATTTCGAATTTTTTATGCTCAATTTTGGAATTTTTCGAAATTAAATATTTCGAATTTTCCATTTTTTGAATTTTTCGCATTTCGAATTCCCGATTTTCGATTTTTTGAATTTTCCAATTTCAGTTCTTCGATTTTCCCAATTCTCCATTTTTTAAATTTTTTGATTTTTGATTTTTTTATTTCCGATTTTTCAATTGTCATTTTTTCGATTTTCCATTTTTTGATTCTTCAATTTTAGATTTTCCATTTTTCGATTTTCGATTCTCCAATTTTTTGGTAATTCCGAATTTTCGATTTTTTGAATTTTCGAAATTTTGCATTCTCAATGTGCAATTTTTCGAATTTTTGGATTTTCCAATTTCAATTCTGCGAGTTTACGATTTCCGTTTTTGAATTTTTGATTTTTTGTGTTTTCCAATTTCAATTCCGAATTCTTTATTTTAGATTTTTCGATTTTTTTATTTTCGATTTCTGATTTTCGATTTTTTGAATTTTCGAATTCCAATTCTAGATTTTCGATTTTTTGGTTAGTTCGAATTTTTCATGATCAATTTTGGAATTTTCCGAAATTCAATATTTCGAACTTTCCACATTTCGAATTCCCGATTTTCAATTTTTGGAATTTTTGAATTTTCCAATTTCAATTATTCGATGTTCAGAATTCTCGATTTTAGATTTTTTGATTTCGATTTTTTGATTTCCGATTTTTCAATCGTCATTTTTTCGATTTTCCATTTTTTGATTCTTCAAATTTCGATTTTCCATTCTTCGATCTTTTGATTAATTCGAATTTTTGATCAATTTTGGGATTTTCCGAAATTCAATATTTCCAATTTTCAATATTTCAATTTCCCGATTTTTAGTTTTTCCAATTTTTGAATTTTCCAATTTCAATTCTGCGATTTTACGTTTTCCGATTTTTGAATTTTCGAGTTTTTGATTTCCGATTTTTCAATTTTCCATTTCCGATTTTTGGTTCTTCGATTTTTCGGTTATTTCGAAATTTTATTATCAATTTTGGAATTTTTTGAAATTCAATATTTCGAATTTTTCATTTTTTGAATTTTCGGTATTTCGAATTCCCGGTTTTCAATTTTTCGAATTTTTGAATTTTCCAATTTCAATTTTTCGATTTTACTATTTCTGATTCTAGAGTTTTTGATTTTTTTGAATGTTTCAATTTCAATTTTCCGATTTTCCGAATTTTCGACTTTTCGAATTCTCGATTTTAGATTCGATTTTTTTATTATTTCGATTTTTTATTTTTGATTATCAGAGTTTGGATTTTTCAAAATGCAATATTTCGAATTTTCCATTTTTCGAATTTTCGACACTTTGAATTTTAGATTTTTTGAATTTCCGACATCTCGATTTGTCGATTTTCAATCTTTCGAATTTTATAATTTTCCAATTTCAATTCTTCGATTTTACGATTTGCCATTTTTGAATTTTCGATTTTTTAAATTTCCAAATTCCAATTCTAGATTTTTGATTTTTCGATTTTTTATTTTTTGGTCCTTCAAATTTCGATTTTCCATTCTTCGATCTTTTGTTTAATTCGAATTCTTGATCAATTTTGGGATTTTCCGAAATTCAATATTTCGAATTTTCAATTTTTTGAATTTTCAATATTTCGATTTCCCGATTTTTAGTTTTTGAAATTTTTGAATTTTCTAATTTCAATTCTGCGATTTTACGACTTCCGATTTTTGAATCTTCGAGTTTTTGATTTCCGATTTTTCGATTTTCTATTTCCGATTTTTTTAATTTTCGAAGTCCAGTTTTTCGATTTTCCATTTTTCGATTTTTGATTCTTCGATTTTTCGGTTATTTCGAAATTTTATTATCAATTTTGGAATTTTTCGAAATTCAATATTTCGAATTTTTCATTTTTTGAATTCTCGACATTTCCCATTCCCGGTTTTTGAATTTTTCGAATTTTTGAATTGTCCCATTCATTTCAATTTTTCGATTTTACTATTTCTGATTCTAATTTTCGATTTTTTGAATGTTTCAATTTTAATTTTTCGATTTTCCGAATTTTCGACTTTTCGAATTCTCGATTTTAGATTCTTCGATTTTTTTATTATTTCGAATTTTTGATTATCAGTTTTGGGATTTTTGAAAATGCAATATTTCAAATTTTCCAATTTCTATTCTTCGATTTTACGATTTGCAATTTTTGAATTTTCGATTTTTTAAATTTCCAAATTCCAATTCTAGGTTTTTGGTTTTTCTATTTTCCATTTTTTGATTCTTAAATTTTCGATTTATTGAATTTTCTATACTTTAAATTTTCGAATTTTAATTTTTAGAATTTTCGATTTCCGATTTTTGAATTTTCGGCCTTTTGAATTTTATAATTTCAATTCTTCAATTTTCCGAATTTTCGGTTTCCGATTTTTTGGAAAAAATTAAAATAGTGTAGGGTAATGACGTCATTTCGGAGATTATTAAAAATCCTCTGCCGAAAAAAACAACACATTTTTTTTACATTTTTATTTCAAGTGCAGTGCCAAGATCATTGCAATTATGTCTAACGAATGTAGTCACGTTAGCAACCGATGGATATATTATTTGGAATGGAGCTGTCGACTGAAGATTCACCAACAAAGTGGACTCCAACCAGTTCCTGTCATTTTCCCCGTACATCCCCAAACACGACGCCTGGATCACCACAGGCCAGTCCTTCTGATCAGGTACGTCACAATAATTGTCCAGGAGAATCGCCATTTGCTGGAGGAGGCTCCAGGGTCGCTCGGTGGGGTGGCAGCCCGGTAACGACGTCACTAAAAACACCCTCACGTCATGGAAATCGGCGCGCTTTACATAGTCAATCCAGGTTCCCAAAACCGGCAGTTTGTACTGTTTTAAAAACAGGATAAGGTCGCTTTTGAAGCCAGTGGGGGAATCACGAGCGCATTCAGACATTCGACATAAAGGACTCACCCAAAAGCTGAAACTTACCGTAGTGAATTGTATGGTTTCATTGTAAAATTACCAGTGGTTGAAGTGCTCCCAGTGGTCTTGGTACAAATTCGCGCTGGACACCACCACTCGAACTGAGTCGTCGTCGTAAACGAAAATCGCTAGTTTTCTGAAATAATCATAACTGAGTATGAAAAGGGGGTTTGTGGGGGCGAAATTACGAGCGGTGGCTTCCGTGTAAGTCTCTGACCGCCACACAGTGGGATTTCACGTTCGGTAAATTATCAGCGACGTATTTTTCCAGTTCTGGGTTTTCTTCGCCATATAGTATCGTGAGAGGTTTGGACCTGAAACTTCTACCTGTGTTGGTGTTTTTGTGTTTTTTACGTACCGCAAGTGTTTTTGGTCGTATTGATTCATGAGCCACTCGATGTCCACTTTAAACGTGATTTGGAGCGACGTTTTCAGTTTGCCTAAGCTGGGGCACAGCAAGTCCGTGAAGAAAATCGTGTTGTCTTGCTGGGGTAAGCAGGGGATGGTGTTGTAGAAAATGTTGTACGGGGAGGCTAAATGTAGCTTTTGGTTCATCGTTGCCATGGTTTTTGAATGGTACTAATGGTACTTGTGTGACGATCGACCAATCAGCTGTTTGTAGTACGGAACGTAGGTCCAGGAGTGGACGGTCAGTCGATTTTAGTCGAGGGAACCCGAGCGCCTATCAATTTTGAAAAAATCGAGATAATTTTATGTAAAAAAGTTCGGTGTTTAATTTTTATAAAATACGATATTTCTGCGCTTGTGGTGGATGAATCCGTTGAGTTTTCACACTTGACGTACGGATTTTTGGAAAGATTATTCATTTATCCCCGTCCAATAAATTTATGACGTCATCACAATTTTCGTTTTTTTGACTTTTATTTTGCAATTTTTCAATTATACTATTTTTAATTTTTCAATTTTTCAATTTTTTCAATTTTAAAGTTTCCAAATTTTTAATCTTTCAATTTTACAATTTTTTCTTTTTTTTATTTAAGAAGTTGAAACATCGAAAAACTGAAAAAACGAGAAATTGAAACATTGAAAAATCTAAAATTGAAAAAAAGGAAAAATTTAAAAAATGCGAAAGTTGAAAAACCGAAAAATTCCAATCTGAAGACTAGAAAATTGCAAATCGAAAAACTGAAGAAACAAATAAACTGAAGAATTGAAAAATTCAAGTCAGAAAAAAAAATTCTAAATTGATTTCTTCGATTTTCCGAATTTTCAAATTTTCATATTTCCGATTTTTTGATATCCGATTTTTTGACTTTCTTTTTCCGATGTTTTTGATTTTCGAAGTCAAATTTTAAATTTTGGAATTTTCCAATTTCAATTCTTCGATTTTCCAAATTCTCGATTTTAGATTTTCTGATTTTCGATTGTTTGATTTCCGTTTTCGCGATTTTCTATTTCCGATTTTTAAATTTTCTAGATTTTCAATTTCTTGATTTTCCATTTTTCGATCTTCCATTTTTCGGCTTTCCATTTTTTGATTCTTCAATTTTCGATTTTCCATTTTTCGATTTTCGATTCTTTGATTTTTGTTGTTTCGAATTTTTGATAATCAATTTTGGGATTTTTCGAAATGCAATATTTCGAATTTTCAATTTTTTGAATTTTCGACATTTCGAATTTTCGATTTTTTTAATTTTCGACATTCCTACTTCCCGATTTTCATTATTTCGATTTTTTGAATTTTCCAATTCCAATTCTTCGATTTTCTAAATTCTCGATTTTAGATTTTCTGATTTTCGATTGTTTGATTTCCGATTTCTCGATTTTCTATTACCGATTTTTTAAATTTTCTAGATGTTCAATTTCTCGATTTTCCATTTTTCGATCTTCCATTTTTCGGCTTTCCATTTTTTGATTCTTCAATTTTCGATTTTCCATTTTTCGATTTTCGATTCTCCAATTTTTTGGTTATTTCGAAATTTTGGTTATCAATTTTGGGATTTTTCGAACTTCAGTATTTCGACTTTTCCATTTTTTGAATTTTCGAAATTTCGACTTCTCGATTTACAATTTTTTGAATTTTTGGATTTTCCAATTTCAATTCTGCGATTTTACGATTTCCAATTTTTGAATTTTCGATTTTCTATTTCCGATTTTTTGAATTTTCGAAGTCCAATTCTAGATTTTCGATTTTTCGGTTTTCCATTTTTCGATCTTCCATTTTCGATTTGCCATTTTTAATTCTTCAATTTTTGATTTTTTGTTGGTTTCGTATTTTTCAATTTTTGAATTTCCGACTTTCCGAATTCTCGATTTTCTGAATTTTCGGTTTGAGATTTTTTCGATTTCCGATTTTTCCATTTTCTATTTCCGATTTTTTGAATTTTCGAAGTCCAATTCTGAATTTTCAATTTTTCCATTTTCCATTTTTCGATTTTTCGTTCTTTGATTTTCCATTTTTTGATGCTTCAGTTTTCGATTTTCGATTCTTCGATTTTTTGGTTATTTCGAATTTTTGATTATCAATTTTGGAACTTTTCGAAATTCAATACTTCAATTTTTCCATTTTTTGAATTTTCGACATTTCGAATTTTCGATTTTTTGAATTTTCGACATTCCGAATTCCCGATTTTCAATTTTTCGAATTTTTGAAATTTCCAATTTCAATTCTTCGATTTTCCAAATTCTCTATTTTGGATTTTCTGATTTTCGATTATTTGATTTCAGATTTTCCGATTTTCTGTTTCTGATTTTTTAACTTTTTTTGATTTTCAATTCCTTGATTTTCCATTTTTCAATCTTCCATTTTTCGGCTTTCCATTTTTTGATTCTTCAATTTTTGATTTTCCATTTTTCGATTTTCGATTCTCCAATTTTTTGGTTATTTCGAAATTTTCCATTTTTTTAATGTTCCACATTTCGAATTCCCGATTTTCAATTTTTCGATTTTTTGAATTTTCCAATTTCAATTCTTCGATTTCCGTTTTTTTGGTTATTTCGAAATTTTGATTATCAATTTTGGGACTTTTCGAAATTCAATACTTCAATATTTCCATTTTTTGAATTTTCGACATTTCGAATTTTCGATTTTTTGAATTTTCGACATTCCTAATTTCCGATTTTCATTTTTTCGAATTTTTGAATTTTCCAATTCCAATTCTTCGATTTTCTAAATTCTCGAATTTAGATTTTCTGATCTTCGATTGTTTGATTTCCGATTTCTTAATTTTCTATTTCTGATTTTTTAAATTTTCTAGATTTTCAATTTCTCGATTTTCCATTTTTCGATGTTCCATATTTCGGCTTTCCATTTTTTGATTCTTCTATTTTCGATTTTCTATTTTTCGATTTTCGATTCTACAATTTTTTGGTTATTTCGAAATTTTGGTTATCAGTTTTGTGATTTTTCGAACTTCAGTATTTCGAATTTTCCATTTTTTGAATTTTTGAAATTTCGAATTCTCGATTTGCAATTTTTTGAATTTTTTCATTTTCCAATTTCAATTCTGCGATTTTACGATTTTCGATTTTTGAATTTTCGATTTTCCATTTCCGATTTTTTGAATTTTCGAAGTCCAATTCTAGAATTTCGATTTTTCAGTTTTCCATTTTTCGATCTTCCATTTTCGATTTGTCATTTTTTATTCTTCAATTTTTGATTTTTTGTTTGTTTCGAATTTTTCAGTTTTGAATTTCCGACTTTCCGAATTCTCGATTTTTTGAATTCTCGCTTTTGGATTTTTTCGATTTCCGATTTTTCCATTTTCTATTTCCGATTTTTTGAATTATCGAAGTCCAATTCTGAATTTTTAATTTTTCGATGTTCCATTTTTCGATTTTTCGTTTTTTGATGCTTCAGTTTTCGATTTTCGATTCTTCGATTGTTTGGTTGTTTCGAATTTTTGATTATCAATTTTGGAACTTTTCGAAATTCAATACTTCAATTTTTCCATTTTTTGAATTTTCGACATTTCGAATTTTCGATTTTTTGAATTTTCGACATTCCGAATTCCCGATTTTCAATTTTTCGAATTTTTGAAATTTTCAATTTCAATTCTTCGATTTTCCAAATTCTCTATTTTAGATTTTCTGATTTTCGATTATTTGATTTCAAATTTTCCGATTTTCTGTTTCTGATTTTTTAACTTTTCTTGATTTTCAATTCCTTGATTTTCCATTTTTCAATCTTCCATTTTTCGGCTTTCCATTTTTTGATTTTCCATTTTTCGATTTTCGATTTTCCAATTTTTTGGTTATTTCGAAATTTTCCATTTTTTAATGTTCCACATTTCGAATTCCCGATTTTCAATTTTTCGATTTTTTGAATTTTCCAATTTCAATTCTTCGATTTTCGTTTTTTTGGTTATTTCGAAATTTTGATTATCAATTTTGGGATTTTTCGAAATTCAGTATTTCGAATTTTCCATTTTTTGAATTTTCGATTTTTTGAATTTTCGAAATTTCGAATTCTCAATTTGCAGTTTTTCTTGATTTTAGATTTCGATTTTCTGTTTCCGATTCTTTTAATTTTCGAAGTCCAGTTCTAGATTTTCAATTTTTCGAATTTTTTAATCTTCCAATTTCAATTCTGCGATATTACGATTTCCGATTTTTTTTTATTTTCGATTTTTGTTTTTCGATTTTTCGGTTTTTTATTTTCGATTTTTTAATTTTTCGAATTCCAATTCTAGATTTTCGATTTTTTGGTTACTTTGAATTTTTGATTATCAATTTTGGAGTTTTCCGATATTCAACATTTCGAATTTTCGATTTTTTTAATTTTCGACATTTCGAATTCCCGATTTTCAATTTTTGGAATTTTTGAATTTTCTAGTTTCAATTTTTCGATTTTCCGAATTTTCAATTTTAAATCTAAAATTTTGATTTTCGATTTTTTGATTTCCGATTTTTCAATCTTCATTTTTTGATTCTTCAAATTTCGATTTTCCATTCTTCGATTTTTTAATTACGTCGAATGTTTGATTAATTTTGGGATTTTCCGAAATTCAATATTTCGAATTTTCAATATTTCGATTTCCCGATTTTTCGTTTTTCGAATTTTTGAATTTTCCAATTTCAATTCTGCAATTTTACGATTTCCGATTTTTGAATTTTCGAGTTTTTGATTTCCAATTTTTTGAATGTTCGAAGTCCCATTTTTCGATTTTTGATTCTTCGATTTTTTGGTTATTTCGAAACTTTTATTATCAATTTTGGAATTTTTCGAAATTCAATATTTCGAATAATTCTTCTTTTTGAATTTTCGACATTTCGAATTCCCGGTTTTCAATTTTTCGAATTTTTGAATTTTCCAATTTCAATTATGCGATTTTCCGAATTCCCGATTTAATTTTTTTTGATTTTCGATTTTTTGTTTTCCGATTTTTCAATCTTCATTTTTTCGATTTTTCATTTTTTGATTCTCAAATTTCGATTTACATAGTCAATCCAGGTTCCCAAAACCGGCAGTTTGTACTGTTTTAAAAACAGGATAATGTCGCTTTTGAAGCCAGTGGGGGAATCACGAGCGCATTCAGACATTCGACATAAAGGACTCACCCAAAAGCTGAAACTTACCGTAGTGAATTGTATGGTTTCATTGTAAAATTACCAGTGGTTGAAATGCTCCCAGTGGTCTTGGTACAAATTCGCGCTGGACACCACCACTCGAACTGAGTCGTCGTCGTAAACGAAAATCGCTAGTTTTCTGAAATAATCATAACTGAGTATGAAACGGGGGTTTGTGGGGGCGAAATTACGAGCGGTGGCTTCCGTGTAAGTCTCTGACCGCCACACAGTGGGATTTCACGTTCGGTAAATTATCAGAGACGTATTTTTCCAGTTCTGGGTTTTCTTCGCCATATAGTATCGTTAGAGGTTTGGACCTGAAACTTCTACCTGTGTTGGTGTTTTTGTGTTTTTTACGTACCGCAAGTGTTTTTGGTCGTACTGATTCATGAGCCACTCGATGTCCACTTTAAACGTGATTTGGAGCGACGTTTTCAGTTTGCCTAAGCTGGGGCAGAGCAAGTCCGTGAAGAAAATCGTGTTGTCTTGCTGGGGCAAGCAGGGGATGGTGTTGTAGAAAATGTTGTACGGGGCGGCTAAATGTAGCTTTTGGTTCATCGTTGCCATGGTTTTTGAATGGTACTAATGGTACTTGTGTGACGATGGACCAATCAGCTGTTTGTAGTACGGAACGTGGGTCCAGGAGTGGACGGTCAGTCGATTTTAGTCGAGGTTACCCGAGCGTCTATCAATTTTGAAAAAATCGAGATTATTTTATGTAAAAAAGTTCGGTGTTTAATTTTTATCAAATAAGGTATTTCTGCGCTTGTGGTGGATGAATCCGTTGAGTTTTCACACTAGACGTACGGATTTTTGGAAAAAATTATTCATTTATCCCCGTTCAAAAAATTTGAGATGTCATCACAATTTTCGTTTTTTCATTTTCTTTAATTTATCGATGCATTTTTCAACGTTTCGATTTAATAATTTTTCGTTTTTTTGACTTTCCTTTTGCAATTTTTCAATAATACTATTTTTAATTTTTCGATTTTTCAATTTTTTCAATTTTTGAGTTTCCAAATTTTTAATCTTTCAATTTTACAATTTTTTCTTTTTTTTTTTATTTAAGAAGTTGAAAAATCGAAAAATTGAAAAAAAAGGAAAAATTTAAAAATTGTAAAAGTGGAAAAACCGAAACATTCCAATCTGAAGACTAGAAAAATTGCAAATCGAAAAACTGAAGAAACAATAAACTGAAGAATTGAAAAATTCAAGTCAGAAAACAATTTTCTAAATTCATTTCTTCGATTTTCCGAATTTTCAAATTTTCGTTTTTCCGATTTTTTGATATCCGATTTTTTGACTTTCTTTTTCCGATGTTTTTGATTTTCGAAGTCAAATTTTAAATTTTCGATTTTCCATTTTTCGATTTTCCATTTTCGATTTTCCATTTTTTATTCTTCAATTTTTGATTTTTTGTTTGTTTCGAATTTTTCAGTTTTTGAAATTTAGGCATTCCGAACTCTCGATTTTCTGAATTTTCGGTTTTAGATTTTCCATTTTTCGATTTTTCGTTTTTTGATTTTCCATTTTTTGATTCTTCAATTTTCGATTTTCGATTCTTCGAATTTTTGGTTCTTCCAATTTTTGATTATCAATTTTGGGACTTTTCGAAATTCAGTACTTCAATTTTGTCAATTTTTGATTTTTTCACATTTCGAATTTTCGATTTTTTCAATTTTCGACATTCCGAATTCCCGATTTTCAATTTTTCGAATTTTTGAATTTTCCAATTTCAATTCTTCGATTTTCCGAATTCTCGATTTTAGATTTTTTGATTTTCGATTTTTTGTTTTCCGATTTTTCAATCTTAATTTTTTCGATTTTCCATTTTTTGATTCTTCAATTTTCGATTTTCCATTTTTCGATTTTCGATTCTCCAATTTTTTGGTAATTCCGAATTTTCGATTTTTTGAATTTTCGAAATTTTGCATTTTCAATTTGCAATTTTTCGAATTTTCGATTTTCAATTTTTCGATTTTCGATTCTTTGATTTTTTGGTTATTTCGAATTTTTGATAATCAATTTTGGGATTTTTCGAAATGCAATATTTCGAATTTTCAATTTTTTGAATTTTCGACATTTCGAGTTCCCGATTTTCAATTTTTCGATTTTTTGAATTTTGCAATTCCAATTCTTCGATTTTCCGAATTCTCGATTTTCGATTTTTGATTTCCGATTCTTCGATTATTTGGTTATTTCGAAATTTTGATTATCAATTTGCAATTTTTCGAATTTTTGGATTTTCCAATTTCAATTCTGCGATTTTACAATTTCCGATTTTTGAATTTTTCGATTTTTCGAATTTTCGATTTTCCATTTTTCGATTTTCGATTCTTTGATTTTTTGGTGATTTCGAATTTTTGATTATCAATTTTAGGATTTTTCGAAGTTCAATATTTCGAATTTTCAATTTTTCGAATTTTTGAATTTTCCAATTTCAGTCCTTCGATTTTCCAAATTTTCGATTTTAGGTTTTCTGATTTTCGATTGTTTTCCGATTTATCGAATTTCTATTTCCGATTTTTTAAATTTTCAAGATTTTCCATTTTTCGATCTTCCATTTTTCGGCTTTCCATTTTTTGATTATTCAACTTTCGATTTTCCATTTTTCGATTTTCGATTCTTCAATTTTTTGGTCATTTCGAATTTTTGATTATCAATTTTGGGATTTTTCGAAGTTCAATATTTCGAATTTTCAATTTTTTGAATTTTCGACATTCCGAATTCCGGATTTTCAATTTTTCGATTTTTTGAATTTTCCAATTTCAATTCTTCGATTTTCCAAATTCTCGATTTTACGTTTTCTGATTTTCGATTGTTTGATTTCCGATTTCTCGATTTTCTATTTCCGATTTTTTAAATTTTCTAGATTTTCCAATTTCTCGATTTTCCATTTTTCAATGTTCCATTTTTCGTGTTTCCATTTTTTGATTATTCAATTTTCGATTTTCGATTCTTTAATTTTTTGGTCATTTCGAATTTTTGATGATCAATTTTGGAATTTTTCGAAATTAAATATTTCGAATTTTCCATTTTTTGAATTTTTCGCATTTCGAATTCCCGATTTTCAATTTTTCGATTTTTTGAATTTTCCAGTTTCAATTCTTCTATTTTCCGAATTCTCGATTTTAGATTTTTTGATTTTTGATTATTTGATTTCCGATTTTTCAATCTTCATTTTTTCGATTTTCCATTTTTTGATTCTTCAATTTTCGATTTACCATTTTTCAATTTTCGATTCCCCAATTTTTTGGTAATTCCGAATTTTCGATTTTTTGAATTTTCGAAATTTTGCATTCTCAATTTGCAATTTTTCTAATTTTTGGATTTTCCAATTTTAATTCTGCGAGTTTACGATTTCCGTTTTTGAATTTTTGATTTTTTGTGTTTTCCAATTTCAATTCCGAATTCTCGATTTTAGATTTTTCGATTTCTGATTTTCGATTTTTATTTTCGATTTTTTGAATTTTCGAATTCCAATTCTAGATTTTCGATTTTTTGGTTACTTCGAATTTTCAATTTTTGGAATTTTTGAATTTTTCAACTTCAATTATTCCATGTTCCGAATTCTCGATTTTACATTTTTTGATTTTCAATTTTTTGATTTCCGATTTTTCAAACTTCATTTTTTCGATTTTCCATTTTTTGATTCTTCAAATTTCGATTTTCCATTCTTCGATCTTTTGATTAATTCGAATGTTTGATCAATTTTGGGATTTTCCGAAATTCAATATTTCGAATTTTCAATATTTCAATTTCCTGATTTTTAGTTCTTCCAATTTTTGAATTTTCCAATTTCAATTCTGCGATTTTACGTTTTCCGATTTTTGAATTTTAGAGTTTTTGATTTCCGATTTTTCAATTTTCTATTTCCGATTTTTGGTTCTTCGATTCGATTTTTCGGTTATTTCGAAATTTTATTATCAATTTTGGAATTTTTCGAAATTCAATATTTCGAATTTTTCATTTTTTGAATTTTCGATATGTATTTCGAATTCCCGGTTTTCAATTTTTCGAATTTTTGAATTATCCAATTTCAATTTTTCGATTTTACTATTTCTGATTCTAGAGTTTTCGATTTTTTTGAATGTTTCAATTTCGATTTTCCGATTTTCCGAATTTTCGACTTTTCGAATTCTCGATTTTAGATTCTTCGATTTTTTTATTATTTCGATTTTTTATTTTTGATTTTATTAGAGTTTGGATTTTTCAAAATGCAATATTTCGAATTATCCATTTTTCGAATTTTCGACACTTTGAATTTTCCATTTTTTGAATTTCCGACATCTCGATTTGTCGATTTTCAATTTTTCGAATTTTATAATTTTCCAATTTCAATTCTTCGATTTTACGATTTGCCATTTTTGAATTTTCGATTTTTTTAATTTCCAAATTTCAATTGTAGAGTTTTGATTTTTCGGTTTTTCATTTTTTGGTTCTTCAAATTTCAATTTTCTATTTTTCGATCTTTTGTTTAATTCGAGTTTTTGATCAATTTTAGGATTTTCCGAAATTCAATATTTCGAATTTTCAATAATTCGATTTCCCGATTTTTAGTTTTTGAAATTTTTGAATTTTCTAATTTCAATTTTGCTATTTTACGATTTCCGATTTTTCGATTTTCTATTTCCGATTTTTTGAATTTTCGAAGTCCAGTTTTTCGATTTTCCATTTTTCGATTTTTGATTCTTCGATTTTTCGGTTATTTCGAAATTTTATTATCAATTTTGGAATTTTTCGAAATTCAATATTTCGAATGTTTCATTTTTTGAATTTTCGACATTTCCCATTCCCGGTTTTCAATTTTTCGAATTTTTGAATTTTCCCATTTCAATTCTTCGATTTTACTATGTCTGATTCTAGTTTTCGATTTTTTGAATGTTTCAATTTCAATTTTTCGATATTCCGAATTTTCGATTTTTCGAATTCTCGATTTTAGATTCTTCGATTTTTTTATTATCTCGAATTTTTGATTATCAGTTTTGGGATTTTTCAAAATGCAATATTTCGAATTTTCCATTTGTCGAATTTTTGGACACTTTGAATTTTCGATTTTTTTGAATTTTCGACATCTCGATTTGTCGATTTTCAAATTTCGAATTTTATAATTTTCCAATTTCAATTCTTCGATTTTACGATTTGCAATTTTTGAATTTTCGATTTTTTAAATTTCCAAATTCCAATTCTAGGTTTTTGGTTTTTCGATTTTCCATTTTTTGATTCTTAAATTTTCGATTGATTGAATTTTCTATACTTTGAATTGTCGAATTTTAATTTTTAGAATTTTCGATTTCCGATTTTTGAATTTTCGGCCTTTTGAATTTTATAATTTCAATTCTTCAATTTTCCGAATTTTCGGTTTCCGATTTTTTGGAAAAAATTAAAATAGTGTAGGGTGATGACGTGATTTCGGAGATTATTAATAATCCTCTGTCGAAAAAAACAACACATTTTTTTTAGATTTTTATTTCAAGTGGAGTGCCAAGATCATTGCAATTATTTCTAACGAATGTAGTCACGTTAGCAACCGATGGATATATTATTTGGAATGGAGCTGTCGACTGAAGATTCACCAGCAAAGTGGACTCCAACCAGTTCCTGTCATTTTCCCCGTACGACCCCAAACACGACGCCTGGATCACCACAGACCAGTCCTTCTGATCAGGTACGTCACAATAATTGTCCAGGAGAATCGCCATTTGCTGGAGGAGGCTCCAGGGTCGCTCGGTGGGGTGACAGCCCGGTAACGACGTCACTAAAAACACCCTCACGTCATGGAGATCGGCGCGCTTTACATAGTCAATCCAGGTTCCCAAAACCGGCAGTTTGTACTGTTTTAAAAACAGGATAAGGTCGCTTTTGAAGCCAGTGGGGGAATCACGAGCGCATTCAGACATTCGACATAAAGGACTCACCCAAAAGCTGAAACTTACCATAGTGAATTGTATGGTTTCATTGTAAAATTACCAGTGGTTGAAGTGCTCCCAGTGGTCTTGGTACAAATTCGCGCTGGACACCACCACTCGAACCGAGTCGTCGTCGTAAACGAAAATCGCTAGTTTTCTGAAATAATTACAACTGAGTATGAAAAGGGGGTTTGTGGGGGCGAAATTACGAGCGGTGGCTTCCGTGTAAGTCTCTGACCGCCACACAGTGGGATTTCACGTTCGGTAAATTATCAGCGACGTATTTTTCCAGTTCTGGGTTTTCTTCACCATATAGAATCGTTAGAGGTTTGGACCTGAAACTTCTACCTGTGTTGGTGTTTTTGTGTTTTTTACGTACCGCAAGTGTTTTTGGTCGTATTGATTCATGAGCCACTCGATGTCCACTTTAAACGTGATTTGGAGCGACGTTTTCAGTTTGCCTAAGCTGGGGCACAGCAAGTCCGTGAAGAAAATCGTGTTGTCTTGCTGGGGTACGCAGGGGATGGTGTTGTAGAAGATGTTGTACGGGGCGGCTAAATGTAGCTTTTGGATCATCGTTGCCATGGTTTTTGAATGGTACTAGTGGTACTTGTGTGACGATCGACCAATCAGCTGTTTGTAGTACTGAACGTCGGTCCAGGCACGGTCCAGGAGTGGACGGTCAGTCGATTTTAGTCGAGGTTACCCGAGCGTCTATCAATTTTGAAAAAATCGAGATAATTTTGTATAAAAAAGTTTGGTGTTTAATTTTTATAAAGTAAGATATTTCTGCGCTTGTGGTGGATGAATCCGTTGAGCTTTCACACTAGACGTACAGATTTTTGGAAAACATTATTCATTTATCCTCGTCCAAAAAATTTATGACATCATCACAATTTTCGTTTTTTAGACTTTAATTTTGCAATTTTTCAATAATACTATTTTTAATTTTTCGATTGTTCAATTTTTTCAGTTTTGTAAGTTTCTCAATTTTTAATCTTTCAAAAAAACTGAAACTGAAAAACTGAAAAAACGAGAAATTGAAACATTGAAAAATCTAAAGTTGAAAAAAAGGAAAAATTTAAAAAATGCGAAAGTTGAAAAACCGAAAAATTCCAATCTGAGGACTAGAAAATTGCAAATCGAAAAACTGAAGAAACAAATAAACTGAAGAATTGAAAAATTCAAGTCAGGAAACAATTTTCTAAATTCATTTCTTCGATTTTCCGAATTTTCAAGTTTTCGTTTTTCCGATTTTTTGATATCCGATTTTTTGACTTTCTTTTTCCGATGTTTTTAATTTTCGAAGTCAAATTTAAAATTTTCGATTTTCCATTTTTTATTCTTCAATTTTTGATTTTTTGTTTGTTTCGAATTTTTCAGTTTTTGAAATTTCGGCATTCCGAACTCTCGATTTTCTGAATTTTCGGTTTTAGATTTCCAATTTTTCGATTTTTCGTTTTTTGATTTTCCATTTTTTGATTCTTCAATTTTTGATTTTCGATGCTTCGATTTTTTGGTTCTTCCAATTTTTAATTATCAATTTTGGGACTTTACGAAATTCAGTACTTCAATTTTGTCATTTTTTGATTTTTTGACATTTCCAATTTCAATTCTTCGATTTTCCAAATTCTCGATTTTAGATTTTCTGATTTTCGATTGTTCGATTTCCGATTTCTCGATTTTCTACTTCCGATTTTTTAAATTTTCTAGATTTTCAATTTCTCGATTTTCCATTTTTCGATCTTCCATTTTTCGGCTTTCCATTTTTTGATTCTTCAATTTTCGATTTTCCATTTTTCGATTTTCGATTCTCCAATTTTTTGGTTATTTCGAATTTTCCATTTTTCGAATTTTCGACATGTCGAATTTTCGATTTTCCATTTTTCGATTTTCGATTCTTTGATTTTTTGATTATTTCGAATTTTTGATAATCAATTTTGGGATTTTTCGAAATGCAATATTTCGAATTTTCAATTTTTTGAATTTTCGACGTTTCGAATTTTCGATTTTTTAAATTTTCGACATTCCTACTTCCCGATTTTCATTTTTTCGAATTTTTGAATTTTCCAATTCCAATTCTTCGATTTTCTAAATTCTCGATTTTAGATTTTCTGATTTTCGATTGTTTGATTTCCGATTTCTCGATTTTCTATTACCGATTTTTTAAATTTTCTAGATTTTCAATTTCTCGATTTTCCATTTTTCGATCTTCCATTTTTCGGCTTTCCATTTTTTGATTCTTCAATTTTCGATTTTCAATTTTTCGATTTTCGATTCTCCAATTTTTTGGTTATTTCGAAATTTTGGTTATCAATTTTGGGATTTTTCGAACTTCAGTATTTCGAATTTTCCATTGTTTGAATTTTCGAATTTTTGAATTCTCGATTTGCAATTTTTTGAATTTTTGGATTTTCCAATTTCAATTCTGCGATTTTACGATTTTCGATTTTTGAATTTTCGATTTTCTCTTTCCGATTTTTTGAATTTTCGAAGTCCAATTCTAGATTTTCGATTTTTCGGTTTTCCATTTTTTGATCTTCCATTTTCGATTTGCCATTTTTTATTCTTCAATTTTTGATTTTTTGTTGGTTCGTATTTTTCAGTTTTTGAATTTCCGACTTTCCGAATTCTCGATTTTCTGAATTTTCGGTTTTAGATTTTTTCGATTTTCGATTTTTCCATTTTCTATTTCCGATTTTTTGAATTTTCGAAGTCCAATTCTGATTTTCAATTTTTCCATTTTCCATTTTTCGATTTTTCGTTTTTTGATTTTCCATTTTTTGATGCTTCAGTTTTCGATTTTCGATTCTTCGATTTTTTGGTTATTTCGAATTTTTGATTATCAATTTTGGGACTTTTCGAAATTCAAAACTTCAATTTTTCCATTTTTTGAATTTTCGACATTTCAAATTTTCGATTTTTTGAATTTTCGACATTCGGAATTTCCGATTTTCAATTTTTCGAATTTTTTAATTTTCCAATTTCAATTCTTCGATTTTCCAAATTCTCGATTTTAGATTTTCTGTTTTTCGATTATTTGGTTTCCGATTTGTCGATTTTCTGTTTCCGATTTTTTAACTTTTCTAGATTTTCAATTCCTTGATTTTCCATTTTTCAATCTTCCATTTTTCGACTTTCCATTTTTTGATTCTTCAATTTTCGATTTTCCATTTTTCGATTTTCGATTCTCCAATTTTTTGGTTATTTCGAATTTTCCATTTTTTTAATTTTCCACATTTCGAATTCCCGATTTTCAATTTTTCGATTTTTTGAATTTTCCAATTTCAATTCTTCGATTGTCGATTTTTTGATTTCCGATTGTTCGTTTTTTTGGTTATTTCGAAATTTTGATTATCAATTTTGGGGTTTTTCGAAATTCAGTATTTGGAATTTTCCATTTTTTGAATTTTCGATTTTTTGAATTTTCGAAATTTCGAATTCTCAATTTGCAATTTTTCTTGATTTTAGATTTCGATTTTCTATTTCCGATTTTTTTAATTTTCGAAGTCCAGTTTTAGATTTTCAAGTTTTCGAATTTTTTAATCTTCCAATTTCAATTCTGCTATATTACGATTTCTGATTTTTTTTTATTTTCGATTTTTGTTTTTCGATTTTTCGGTTTTTAATTTTCGAATTCCAATTCTAGATTTTCGATTTTTTGGTTACTTCGAATTTTTGTTTATTAATTTTGGAATTTTCCAATATTCAACATTTCGAATTTTCGATTTTTGGAATTTTTGATTTTTCCAGTTTCAATTTTTCGATTTTCCGAATTTTCAATTTTAGATTTTTTGATTTTCGATTTTTTGATTTCCGATTTATTGAATTTTCTATACTTTGAATTTTCGAATTTTAATTTTTAGAATTTTCGATTTCCGATTTTTGAATTTTCGGCCGTTTGAATTTTATAATTTCAATTCTTCAATTTTCCGAATTTTCAATATTTCGATTTCCCGATTTTTCGTTTTTCGAATTTTTGAATTTTCCAATTTCAATTCTACGATTTTACGATTTAGTCCAGTCATTTTAGGATAAAAAAGGGATCAATCTCGGAATGAGAGATAATAAGCTGAATTTTTGTATATACCTTAATTTTGGCGTTTTAAAAGTTGTGTCAAAAGTCTCATAAAATCTCGTGTCTGCGTCGTAAGTTATTCAAGGTCAAAGATGAAGAAAAACAGTTTTTTGCGATCATCTCGGTTTCTATTGCTCCAGTGATGTTAACATTTATTATCATAATTGTAGAATACAAAATTTGGGACAAATTTTATTTGAAACATTTTTTCATGCGCTCAATCGTTTTTGAGATAGAGGGCAGTGAGCGCGCAGCGCTCATCCATACGTACTGTAATGCAATCAACCGTGAATATCTATGAATACTACCTTGAATTTTGAAAAATTTGTATTATTTATCAATTAATACATTGTATTTAAACATTTTACATATTTTCAACATATTCATTGAATAATACTTACCTACTTTGGGTAATTAAAAACGCATTTAATGAAATATTTATTGTATATCTCAATTTATTTATATCTTTAAAATGTGTAAGGTTTTAAATACTTATTTTTCTATCATGATTATAACTGGAAGGTCTGGAAACAACGATTCAGGGCACCGAAGATGATGACGATGAAACAGAAATTCCCGAACGTCCAGAAGATGACGGTGAAGAAGAAGAAAATTAATACTTTTGTTCTTTAAATTATTAAAGATTTCTAGATTTTCACTGCAATTCAATTTCAATCGTAAGAAATGTACAGGTACTGAACAAAGATAAAACTAAAATACATTAACTCGTTTTATTTCCTTAAGTTTTTACTTTGAAAAAATTAATATAACTTTTAGATATATAATAATATAACAAGTATAATATATGTATTATCTAATATATAAAAACTTACACATTTGAAAGATAAAGCACTTAATTATTTTTCTGCTTAAAATCTACTTTCAATAAATTAAGATATACATACAATAAGTATTTCATTTAAAGAGTTTTTAATTCCACAAAGTAGGTAAGTATCATTATCATTAAATGAATGTATTGAAAATATGTAAAATGTTATTAAATGCAATGTATTAACTGATAAATAATACAAATTATTCAAAATTAAAGGTAGTATTCACAGATATTCACGGTTGATTGCATTACAGTACGTATGGATGAGCGCTGCGCGCTCTCTGCCCTTTATCTCAAAAACGATTGAGCGTATGAAAAAATGTTTCAAATAAAATTTGTCCCAAATTTTGTGCTCTACAATTACGATAATAGATGTTAACATCATTGGAGCAATAGAAACCGAGATAATAGGAAAAAACTGTTTTTCTTCACCTTTGACCTTGAATAACTTACGACGCAGACACGAGATTTTATGAGACTTTTGAGACAACTTTTAGAACGCTAAAATGAAGGTATATACGAAAATTCAGCTTATTATCCCTCATTCCGAGGTTGATCGCTAATTTGACTGGACTAATTTCCGATTTTTGAATTTTCGAGTTTTTGATTTCCAATTTTTTGAATGTTCGAAGTCCAATTTTTCGATTTCCCATTTCTCGATCTTCCATTCTTCGATTTTTTGGTTATTTCGAAATATTTATTATCAATT